CTTGAGATAGGATCGAATTAATGCTTTACCATGTCAAACATGAGATTATAAAGGCCTTTACCTTAGTCATGTCGAACATGAGTTAAATAGTATCGAATGTGAGTGAAATAGAGTTCTTTATCTGGATGGCATCGGGCTTTGGGTGTGTAGCGTATACCTCTAGTTGTTGAAGAAAAGTTTGAATTTTTAAAATTTGAATGATTCATGTTGTTCTTTCCATTCCCATCTCAGGTTCCTTTAAAATATTTGAACTTTTGAAGTCAGAGAAGGAGGTTAAGAGTAACTCTCAACAAATTCATTTTCACTCTTAAAAACTGAAAGGTAAAAATAAAAAATAAAAAATAAAAATGCATGCGTAGCGTATAGGCAATGAATCATGACCCTATTTTAGTTATTATGCTCTTCTGGGGTGTGTGAATAAAGCGAAGAAGCGGATTGGTTAACCTTAGATTTTTTTGTTTACTACATATAAAAACTTTTGAAATTCCCAGGAGATAATCATTTGATTCTGAGACTGAGAGGAATAGCTTCATTTCCGCTAGCTAGCTGCATGTGTGATGTGGACTCCAGATAAATGAAGGAATGATAAATCTATCTCTTTAATTCGTCAAGTAAAGACAGAAGTAGCTGCAATGCAAGTAGGACATTATATCAGTTCATCACATTCACACCACAACCACATACGACAATATTCTTGTTAGATGTGAACTGCCCCTGTTGTACCTCGGATTCAGATGCTACTAACCAACCAAAAGCTGGAATATACTCTTTTTTTGTCGTCAATTTGGTCTCTTTAATTTAAAAAAAGAATTTGATTGCAATGATGGGTTTAAGAACTCCTGATGGCCTTCTAAGTTCTAACGTTTCCATCTTTTATAGCTATAGGGTAGTCTCACCGCATGTATTATCCGATGAAAATCAAAGAAAGTTCAATTATTCATTCTTCTCAAATCAATTTTTATAACAATACAATGATAATTGAGTGTCTCAATAAAGACACAAGTAAATAACATTAAGATAAATGAACTTTAATCAAGTATTAGCTGACGTTGACAACATAGAAGGGATGGTTCTTATTATTCCCTAATCACACTTGTGTTGTGTGAAGGGTCTAGACCTCTAATTTTGGGCTCATGGGCTTCAGCTCTGTGCTTTTGTGGGCTGTGCTAGCTCCAAAGTAGTACCAATGTATGAGTTGTCTTGAAGGAGCTTGACCTCTTCTCCATACAACTCGTCCAATTCTAAACCCAGCCTGCCCAAATGATCTGCACATTTTCAACAACTTTCAAATTTAAAATTTTGAAACTGATTAACAAAACATTGCATAATTAAATTTCTACAACACATAAAAACACTTTTCAAAATTTAATTCCAAAACACATTGAAAAGTCTTAAATATATTATACATTGTTTTAGTTTTAGAGGCCTAATTTCGGAATACATTTAAAACTTTTTTTTTTAAATTTCATTGGAAATTCGGAATGAATTAAACACTTAAAATTCAATGGATCCTACCCCGCTAAAATTCAATTATGGAGTGTATTAAGCGCATTCGAAACACTTTAAAAAAATCAATTATGAAATGTATTATTTGTATTAAAATTTAATTCCGACATATTTCATAAATCACTTCCGAAATTTTAATTCAGAAAAAAAAATCCACTCACATATTGTATTTAAATAAGCACAATTTAGAAATAATAATTCAAAAATAAAAATGATATTATTATAAAAAAAATTTGGTACACAATAAATCCCATAATTCCACTACAAAAGGCCGATGCTATGATCTACTCATATATAAAGATGACAATGGGTAAGGTCTTATAGTATTCATTCTCATATCCGCATTTAAAAACAACACTCGTACCCAACCTCATATCTGTGTAGATAGTAATTCTAATCTTTATTCTTGTTTTTGCAGGATAATTGTGTACCATATGTGTACATGCGACACGCATTTTATTTATGTATAAAGTAAATAAAGCTAAAGAGATAACATTTCACACAAGCAAACATAATATTAATTTGTTAGGTCTTTAACATTACAAAAGTCTATAAATTTTTTTATAAATAAAGATTATAAAACATCCAACTTTTGTAGATAAAATTTTAAAAAAATAAACATAATAAAAGTTGTAAATAAACTTCCAACATCATGATCATGTGTTAACAATATTTTACAAGACTTAAGAATTGTTTTTACAAAATTTAGTTAGATTAAAATTGTAAATTAAATTATATACTATAAATTTTAAAAACAAATATATAGACATTTGACCTTATCATCGGAATCAACTTTTTCATATTTTACAAACGTTTGTCTTTCAAGTTTATATATTATTTTGGTCTAATAATACAAATAGAAACTACGTGACAAGAAGATGAATAATTAGATAATTTCAATTAATAATTAAAATAAATAATAATTTTTTTATTAAATAAATAAAGTTTATTTATTTATTACCTTATTACCTATGTTTCAATCAACCTTGTAGATACATGAATGCCTCCATAGTAAATTCATGAAGTTTATAACGATGAGAACTAAAAAATCTACCTCATGTGCTAAATGCAGATTATGAAATTACAGTTGAAATTGGGATTGTCAAAACATCTTTAACAATATTTTATAAAATTGGATACTTGATCTCATTTATTTTTCACCATCTAAGAATGTAAAAAGTAATATTCATAGACAGAATATTTTCTTTTAAGTAGAACTCTATTTCAGACTTTGTTTGTGTTTCAATTGTATCATTCACAAAAAGAGTCATAATCACTAAGAAAATGCTCTAATATTTAAATTATCTAAGTTTGACTCATTGGTATTTGCTTGTAAAGTTGAAAAATTCATTATTCTCTTAGTTTTAATTTGATACTCTTTAAACAATGAGTAACATAATTTCTTGATATTATTAATTTCAATTGAAGACAAGTCACCATGAAACTTAGGAAAAAAAGTACTTTAACAACTTCAACTTATATCTTGAATCTAAAATAATAACAATATTATTATATTAATTAATATATATTTATTTATCTAGACTTACTCCGTTCAGTAACTCATGTTTTATATCAAATTTTAATGATCTAATCGTTGAATTTAAAGTTCTTCATGCATATATCAAATCAACAAATTTTAAAAAAAATTGAAAATCATATGATACTTTGTTTCATTAATTCAAATCAATTTATAAAATGATTTTATAATTATTCGTCAATTTGAATTAATGAAATGAAATATCAAATGATTTTTAAATTTTTAAAAAATTTGCATACTTAATCTATGCATTAAGAACTTTAAATTCAATGGTTGCATCGTTGAAATTTGATATAAAACACGAATTATTGAACAAAATAAACGGATACCTCATATATATGTATATATGTGTGTGTGTGTTGTGTGTGTGTGAGACGTGACAGGTTGGATACCATGGTACTCATATCCATACCTGTATCCACTAAATTTTGTGGGTTTGTACCTATCCTATACCCATCCCCATATAAAGTAAGTATTTACCTGTCCTGCATGTGGGTGTTTTTGCAAGTTCCCATAGGATCCGAATCAATTTTGTCATTCCTATTCATACAAAAGATAAAAGACTCATTATATATATATATATATATATATATATATACACTTTTTTTTATCATAAATACATTTAAAAAAATTAAAAATATTTTTTTCCTAATTTTTTTTTAATTTTATACTTCTTACGTTCAATTTAAAGTTTAAGATTTAAGATTCAATTTAACACGTTTTTCTTTCTTTTTCCATATGCATCCCTCCCTCTTCTTTTCAATTTTTCACATGCACTTCTTTACCTTCTCTTCATTCTCCATCTATTTTCTTAAGTAGTTTTAATTCTTTTAATTTTTACATTAATCTCTTCTCCTTCTCCTTTTAGTTTTCGCACTATTAACTTTTTTTTCTCCTTTTCTAGTTTTTATATGCACCCGAGACATAAAATTAATTTTTGATAATGTTATAGACATATATGACTTCCTCGATAGTATTAAAGGTGTATAATAATGCTTGTAAATGTGATTTTGGGCCGTCATACAGCAGTGTTTTTGCTCTCACATTGTCCTCTTATTTTTTTTTAATACATTTTAGAAAACTAGTTTTTGTAAGATCTGCAGAAAAGTGAAGGTGTGTGAAAGACTGAAAGTGAGAGAAAATAGTATTTTAAAAATACAAAAAAAAAATTAAAAAAGAGAGTATAAATAAAATAGCATGGGCCAAGGCTTTGTTGTGATAAGTAATTTTGTACTAGGCTTGGTAGTTAGTGTTACATTCCTGGTTGGGCGTCAGTTTCAGCGGTTAGGGATGTTTGGAAGTGTTTGTTTTGTATCCTGGACCAAAACCAAAAGGTCGCAACCTGGTGAGTCGTGACATAGAACTACAAGACACAGAAAGATCAATTTCATAATTAGAAGACACATGCACGTTTGTTTTAGAAAAAAATCTCTTAAAAAAGTGTTTTTATTTTTTATTTTTTTAAACAAACACAATTCTTTTACGGTTTGTCTAAATTCTTTCTTTTTATTTTAAGAAATAACTCTTACCTGCTTTTTAAATAATAATTTTAAAAAAACTAATTTATAAACACTTTTTTAGTTAAACAAATGAACCTAAAGCCTTGTGTTAATTATGTCACTTTAAGAAACCAAATTATAGTTCTATGCTTCAGCTTGAAGGTCTAAAAAAATTATGTTAGTTGATTAAAGTCATGTATGAACTTTGAACTTTGAATTCACAACACCTGGAGACAGAAAATGACCGGAATAGTGGGATTTGCTTCCACTAAAGTGAGAAGCTACATCTATTGATTGAAAAATTAACTACTAAATTATAATTGAATGTAGATATTTGCATAATCAAATAAATCTCGCTGGAGAAAAGCTAAATCGTTAAAACTAATTCCCGCACAGGTATATGGTGAAATAAACCAAGCTAGTGAAATTCGCTTAATACACGAAGCAATTGCCGAAAGTTGAAATTCAATGAGTGATTTGTATACATGAAACGGCCATATATACATGTCTCAGTACTAGTTAGCAGCTGGAGGCAAACCATATTAGCAAATCTACATATTATTTATAAATTATAATTCCTTAGACTCGTTGCGTCAAAAGAGAAATTGAGATTCCAAAAACCATTTTAAGATGTATTCATGAACATGTCACATAGTGGTAGTGCTTTCACAACATTCAATTCAACTATCTGGCATGGCATTACCTTGGCCCTCCACATATGGTCTAATGAAAGTCCTTCTCCACCAAACCTCAAAAGCTCTCTGAAGATTGGGGCATCCATCACCAGTTTTCAAGAAGCTTCCAACCCATGAAAGCAAAATACTCTGTTGATCCTCCAAAGGCAAGGTGAGAATTGTCCTTCCAATTCCTTCCTCCACAAGTTTTCTGTCGAACGACCTGCACCCGTGCTGCAACCAGTTGTAGTCATTGATTAGAGGCTGCAGCCACGTCTGCAACAACAACTGGCGCGCATTCTTCGATGGCAGAACCTCCCCTCTTCCAATGCCAACATATAGTCTTCCAGAAATGCAGCTGACATGATAGCGAAAGACGATGGGAAGCTTTCCATGCAAGGCTGCCAATTCTTGCTGGTTTGCCCACATCAGTGCAAAATCTTCAGCAGCTTGTTTGTCAACTAAAATCTCAAGTAGCCATGACAAGTTATCAGCTTCAAGAGCTATATGTTTTCCTACAGATTCCTTGTCTGCAAAGTCTGGTTCAGCAGCTTGGTTGAACAGACACAATAGAGAATCCAAGCAGCTTCTGCATGAGTTATAAATCATGTCATTGCAGATATCAGCTGAACCTGCAGAGCTTGGAAGACTGTTATTCTCCTTAAGGAGCTTTAGAACTATGGATTTCATCTCTCTGCGACCTCTCTCCTCATTGCTTTTGAGAACAAGTTCAACAATGTGGGATATAGTGTCTTTTGGGGCATTGGAAATATCAGGAGAAACTCGTTTTAGCACCGGATTGACACCGATTCCTTCTCCTTGGAGTCGTAGGACGGTTGAGATCACCTTTTCTTCCTCTTCCTCTCCATTCCAAGGGACTGCCTCCAAGTACTCCAAACATGATTGAATACATGAGCTGAAGCCAAGGGATTCTGCAATCTGCAAAATAGCTTCTTTTAGATAACATGTCTAGCAATAGTGTATCCTCAATCAATACTCAATGGCTCATTCGTAGCAAAGGATAAGATGGTGAAACAAGGACAAGAAAGTTTGAAATGAACACAATAATTAGCAAGAAGTTATGACTGAGGTTTTTGGCACTACCTTCCATAATGAAGCCTGATAGAGAACGGGTCAGAAATATTTTGACAAAATACTATGATCTTACAGGAAACCGGGCATAAGAACTACCTTTACTAGCTATTTAAGTATTTTTAATTTTACTGGGAAAGAAACCGCGTGGTTAAAACATGATCATCGCTAAAATAAATTCTCAGCCATAGCACACTCCACTCTTTTCACTCAATTCATGATCTTGCAGTGTCAATTATATATTAATTAGTAAATACATATGCATTTCAGGCTACTTATATGTATACTTGTAGAGTTACAATGTATCTACTTGTTAACCACATTAATTTTATATAAATGACCACCATATGACACATTGATTATTTTATCATCATCGTTAGCGTTCACATTCATAACGCATCTTAACTACTGATTTGTCATCAACAGTAATAGTATATGAGTAATTGAGTATGTATAAGAAAAAAGAAACAGTACAAAAAATTCCTAGTTCGCTTCCACCTTTAAGATGAGGATGGAGAAATGTTGATGCGTTCAAGTGAATCAAGACATCTCAAGGAAATGCATCCGTAAATTGTCTTAAAAATAATAACTATTTAAACAACCTAATGCACCCGTTTTCATTACAGAACAGCAGTTCCAAATTACTACTATAAGATAATCATAATGTTGGCATGCTAGTTTACAATATCACAAAACGGTACAATTACTATTTTTTTTTTCTTTTCTCGAGTAATTCTAGTCAAATGCTAGTAGGTGCCCATAAGGTATTACTACTAAAGGAACCAAAATCTTAAAGCATTTAATAGAAAGGGAATATATTGAGAACACAAAAATCATTTCCTTCCTGTTTTATCGAGCAATTGAAAGCATCTAATAGAGTGTATTGAATGCTCCTTAGAGCACTAATAGTTAGTAAAACCCATAATTCTAAATAGTCTCACGTCATCCTCCTAATTATTAAAAGAAAAAAGTATTGAATGCCTGTTATGTTCCTAAAATATTAAATGCATTTCCTTTTACATTTAATACTTTCTTTATAAAGTATTAAGAGAAAATAGCATTACACTATCTTTATTGAGTTTATATTTAGACCTATTCCATGAAAGACAAAAATGCAGCTGATTGCAGCATTAAGAATCTAAATAGCATTGTTTAAATTAAAGGAATATTAAATTATAAATTAGGAATAAAAAAACATACTGAAAATATTTATCTCAGTGGAGCAAGAATTAACACAATAACTCAAGGAAATGTAAGTAGAGTTTAAATATTCCTTAGTGGAAATGTAAACATGAGGAAGCATACTATATCAGACAAACATATAAACAGCCCCACAAAAATAATCTGAAAATTATAATACCACGAAGAACAAAAGAGTAATAACATAGAACATATTTCTTATTTCCTTTCCCAGAAATGCCTTACACAACAGAATTAGTATCAAAGCATGACAGTGTTAGCAAATTACCTTGAGTATTCGAAGGATGCGAGAAACGCTTTGCTTCATTAGCCTCTGTTTCATTTCTTTGCAGTACATAAGGCCAACAGTTTCAACATAAATTTCAACATCCTCGCAGTCATCAACTTGGAGACATGACAAACTAGATTGTTCAGAAAGTTTATCAGCAAAGAAACTACTCTTCTCTATTAAAACATCCCTGTGCACACTTAACTTCACACAAAATCCCTGCTTTCCCAAGAGAACCACCTTCATGTCACAAGTTCCAGGTTTACCAAACTCAATAGCCACCTTTTTGGGCAAAGATTCAAGTTTGGGTCTTGGTGCTCTCTGTGTAGGCACAGAAGTGCTGGGTGGAGGTCTTTCGGGATCATTACATTGTTGAGCATCTGATACCACCAATTTTGATGGGGCAGGCACTGCTTTTCTCTCACTCACTGCAACTGCCTTTTTCTGGGAACTAGTCTTTGGAGGAGGTGAAGAGGGTTTGAGTTTATTCAGAGGATTTTGAGGCTTGAGGCTTTTCTGAAACCCAACAGGAGTAGGGCAACACCAAAATCCTTCAGGGGTGACAGCAATTGGAACATTTTGAATCTTTGTTTGACCTTGCCTAACGTCCCCCATATCTAGCAAGTGACTAGGATTCACAGCTAATATGGAATAATATATAGCATCACAGTGAAAATGATGCAGCGGAGACAAACAAGTCTTGCTTTTTCCCTATTTAACAACCAGTTGCTTTCCCCTCATAAAATGTGGAAAATAAGCAAAATGAAAAGCTGCAATCTTTGAAGCTGATCTAATTCCCCCAAAAGAACTGGTACCGCTGCAGTTTCACACAAAGTGAATGGAACATGAGGAATGTTCGATGGACTGAAATTTTTTTTCGTAAATGGGAAAAGGGATTTGAACTGAAATCCAAGCACAATGGCAGGAAGATGTGCAGAATATGAAATATCTTATCGAACTTTTTTTTTTTTCAATTAAAAAAATTGTTTGAGCATTTTCAAAAGTATAACCAAGAAGTTCTACATCTGACCACATCAAAGTTAACAAGCAACTGCAGATCAGCACATAGAAAATGACCCTTCTCTCTCTCTCTGGACAATATTCACTAGTAACCGGCAAAAGCAGAATACTTACCAAACATTGGTCATATGAGAAGCCTCTGAAAGTCCATGTCTTATCTAATCCTTTGTTTGCAGAGCGTTAAAAATGATTGAAGAGGAGCTAAAGTGTTGAGCATCAAGGGAACCAGTGAAGAAAGAGTTGCAGGGAGGAATAATAATGAGTTTAGTCTCTCTTTATTTTGTGAAGTAGAGAACACCACGAGACCCGAAAAAGCAAAAAGGGAGAAACCAAATGAAGTGACATGAAACAGATGATGATGGTTTATGGGCTGTGTTTCTTACTTTCCACTTTACCAGCTCCATGCTTTTGATGATTTGGGTCTCAGAATTTGCATCGTTTGGCCCCCCAGGATTCAACCATTTCTCTCCTCTCTCTAATTAAAAAGAGAAATTTTAAAAATAAAGTAATTTTCTTTTATCCTGTTTTTCCTATTTTGTAGAAGTAGTTCTCTATATATACACAACTCAGCAATCAAACAGACAAGAAGCACGCTTCTTATTTTATTGTATTATTGTGGATTCTTTATGTATGTCACTGTTGCTTTTATCATGTAATGTACTCATGATGTAGAGTAGAGCTAAAGTATGGTTGCTTGGTACATGGTGAAATTACTAGAACACCCTCAGGCTCTGATGTTTAATGGGAAATTAGTAAAGTAGAAGAGAAGAGAATCTTGATATTGATATTGATTGGCGTAGCAGATGGGTGTCAGAAAGGTGTTAAGTAGTATTAGTTGTTTTATTTTTAAAAGAGGTAGTTACCCATGGAATTGTAGTAAGATATAAACATGAAAGCGATGGTTGATCCTAAAATCCAAACCCAAAAATATGGATCTTCTAAGAATAGACTGCGCTACTGCCTCTTTTATTGACCTCTTTTTGGTGCCATGCAAAACTTACAATTCCATCACTACAAATTCATTCTCATTGCTAACTTTGCCCTCAACTGATAAATAGTGTTCCTTTTTTTTTTTTTTTTTATAAGCAAACAAGATTTAAATTATTTGGAGTACAAGGGGTACTCCAACCCGTTACAATAGAGTTCAACATTTCTTTCTTAAAATTATCTATATAGAAGATAATTTTCATTTACAGTTCATCAAGAACCAATAATTCTATGTTTCTATATTAAACATGTTTATATATCTTATTTAGCTGTAATGGATATTTTATAATTTTTCAAAAATTTGAACACTTTATTGATATTATCACTAATAAGTATCAGTGAAGTATCTGAAAGTATCAAAATTGAATAAAACTTTTATAATATTTTTAAAGACTAGGATATTTCATTGACACGTATTGGTGAAGTATCCAAGAATATCGTGTCGGATACGTATCGGATACGGATACGTGAAACAAATTGAAAGCCAAAGTGTCCAAAGGCATGCAACTGAAAACAACTAACATGCAACTAACTGATGAAACTATGTAATATGTATAATATAATTGATTATATCCACGAGACCATGGATTTGTCGATGAACACTATTTGTTTTGATTTTGAGCGAAGCAATGGTTGTTTTCTTCCTTGCGTGATTATTGACGATCATCCCCATCCACGTTGTTTTTGTTAGGCTGGATATTTTGTGTACCACGTTAGAAAACAAACAGTGTCGATCTTTTCTAAATTTGATAACTATTTAACCTGAAAGTTGGACGCACGAAACAGCCAATTTTTGGCTTTTTATATATAGTTGAAGAAGACGGTTTATAGTGTCCCTAATTCAAAACCTCTTTTACCCTTTTTTTCCTTCCAAATTAACTTTTTCTGTGACACCGAGAACTACGTATTTATCATCTTTCGAAGAATCCCGTTTGGATCCGTAATAGCGTGCAGCCCCATAGGCCACAGATATTGAAATTAAAGAGAGGACCAAGACATATCAATACGATCAGAAAGCGAAACTTAACCTAACAAAGACGCTACATGGCAAAAGTAACCTGACAAGAACCCTGCCACTATTTACGATTAAGGCATGGAGATACTTGCTAAATAAGTAAATTTTAATATCATTTGTTACTTCAACGTTGACTTTAACCACATTTTTTTTACAGAATTCAGAACATGTACTACATATCCTAGTCACCATCTAGTAGACGCAGTATATGTGTGCCAACTAACATCATTTGTATGAGATTTTTTTTTAGAAAAACGACAATCATGTTCGAATCAGTTAACAATAATTATGAACGATGTCCCAAGAAACAGAAAAATGGGTTTTGGCTGAGAGGATTTTTAACGAGGCACACCCATGACATTAATAAAATGACTCATTCCATTCATGACTTCTTAATTTTACCCTGTTTTATTATAAAATGCATTATCTTAAGTCGAGGTCGAGTTCGAACCTTGATACGAATAGTTTTATCTCAAGCCGAGGTCGAGTCCGAACCTTGATACGAAATCTCAACCTGAGGTCGAGTTTGAACCTTAGTACGAATTATTTTATTTTACGCTAAGGTCGAATTCGAACCTTAAGAACAAAATCTTAACCCGAGGTCGAGTTCGAACCTCGGTACACATTATTTTATTTTACGCTGAGGTCGAATTCGAACCTTAAGAACAAAATCTTAACCCGAGGTCGAGTTCGAACCTCGGTACGCATTATTTTATTTTAGACTGAGGTCGAATTCGAACTTTAAGAACAAAATCTTAACCCGAGGTTGAGTTTGAACCTCGGTACGCATTATTTTATCTTACGCTAAGGATGAAGTCAAACCTTAGGCACAAAATCTTAACCCGAGGTCGAGTTCAAACCTTGTGGCGAATTATCTTATCTTAAGTTGAGGTCGAGTTCGAACCTCGGTACGAAATCTTAAGCCAAGGTCGAATTCGAACCCTAGTACAAATCATTTTACGCTAAGCCAAATTTGAGCACCAAAGCGCAAAATACAGAGCAAATTCAGAACAAATTCTGAGCGTGTTTTCAAATCACAAAAATGGGCGAAAACTAAGCCTAAAACATGAGCACAAAACCAAAGGTCAAAATAAAACCATCAAGAGTGATTTACCATTAAGCCCAAACTCCTAAACACTTTCCCTTTCCTTTTTCTTGTGAAAAGTGAAACGTAACCAAGCCGAAGATTTGGTATGGATTCATTTTCGTAAAGTGAAAAGTAATTACTTGATCTTACGAAAGTGCATATACAAGAATACATGTCAAAAACAGAAAAATTCTCTTTCTCTTGATTTGTTAACATGTTAAAAATCTTCACACTATAGTAACTGTCTCCTTGTACATAGTTAGTGATGTTATTTTTATGTGAAAAGGGTCTTTGAGTAAAAAATGTCCAGATTCACATATATGAGTGATTCACATGTAGTGTCTCTAATTTTCTATTTGTCTCTCTTACTTTTTTTGATCTTGGCTCTCTCTTTTCTCTCTCTTGTAATTCCCTCTTTGCGATTATCTTTTTCTTTGCCGGAGCATGAGAGGACGCACAAGTTCTTTCTGTTCCTCCAATTCATCTCTTCCTTTCTTTCTTTTGTTTTTATTCTTTTTATTTTTATCTTTTCGTTCTTCATTGTTGATATCGGCTTTCAAGAGAGGATTACATTTTCGCCATGAAAGAGCTTTAGCAACACCATTTGAGTTTCTTTAGCTCTCTATCTCTTTTTTAATTTCTTCCATACAATTTCTGTAGCACTATGCCAACAAAATAAAATATGCCAACCAAAACGTCATTAAAAAATAAGTAAAAAATAAGCACAAAAATGGTTATATGTCTATTTCGTTATAATAAATCAGTGACTTCAAGACACTTTGCACCTTTATTAAAAATAAAATAAAAATAAAAATTAAATAATAAAAGTATATTAATTTAATTAGTATTATGATTAATTTATTAATTTTAAGTTTTTAAATTTGATTAAAAGATATTTTTTTTAATTTTTTAAAATAAAATAATATAATGATAAAAAAAAGTGAAAATCAAGGTAATTACTATATATTAGTATAAATATAAATATTATAAGTAAAAAAAAAATTAATTTTACACAATTCATTAATCTGCATTAAATTTTATTATAAATGTCAAGTAATTGAGAAGTCATATATTAAAAGATAGATATTTAGAGAGAATATTAAATAAGATAAAAGTAGTTAAAATTTATTTATATTTAATTAAATATATATATATATATATATATATAATATTAGAGAATAAAGAAAGTATTGTTTAATGCATGAAAAATGTAAAAGTTCAACCTACTATATAAAATTAATTGGATTTGTTGAATTCAGTCTGATCGTAGAATCAAACAAGTTATTTAATTATTGGTAGAATCTGACTCACAAAGCTTTATGCTAAGCTGTATAATACCGCGTAATTTATTTTTTCATGCCCATAAGAATGTTGGATGAGTAAAATTGTAAAATAAAAGGAATGTGAACAAATTATTGAGTGTAATTTTCTCTAATCCTAATTTGTTACATTCTTACATGTTCTTACAATTGGCATCATATTTTGCATTTGATGATTAATCTTGACATATATTGACAGACTCTGATTCTTTGCATGCAATCATCCTTCAACCAAATAAAACAATATGTAATGCATAAATATTCCATTCTCCATTTGATTCAATAAATTTTGATTTGTTGAGCATTTAGACATCAAAGTTTGGAAGAAAAAAAATCAAATTAATACAATACTATATCCAAAGAGAGACAATTTAAAAAAAAAAATCAATTGCAAGTTTACCCCTCTTTAATTTGTTTTCTTTCACCTTTTACAATTTCTTATTTCTATCTTTCAATTTTTATTGTGCAGTCTAAACTTATATCTAAATAAATTTGTTCCAAAAAGATTGTCCGGTGCTCACACCACCATAACTAGAGAGAACCAAAAATTGATGCAACACCACCACCGATAAATAATGACTTCACAAAAACACTACCTACAGGCTACTGGCACTAGATTTCTCTTTTCTCTGCCTTGTGGTGTAAAACCACACACATGCAGCCACTGCCTCTTGTTCTATATATGGATTTTGGCCTCTTAAATGCAACCTTGGATTAGGACCGTACAAAGTTTGGTCAACTTTAATTTGATGGTATGGAAGGCTTGCATATAAACAAGATAGTTTATTAGTTTAAGGATAAAGAAAAGAAATAGAGTAAAGAAATCATAATTATGCTTTTTTAGTATAAAGTGTACTTTATTTTATTGAATATGATTTATATTTAAATATATTAAAATAACAAAATAAAAATAATATTTCATGATTTTAGGAGTTTTAAATAATAATCGAGAAATAAAAATTGAAATTAATCGATCCATTAATAATACAATGATATACTGTTATCAATTAAGTAATTGACTTGTTCAAATTAAAAATCAAAATTACTTTGACAACATCTAAAGATACATTCCCAACATTTCTCCTTGTCTTAGAGTTTACAAACTTTTATTTTCATCCTTTAAAATTTAATCTAATGACTTAGTGAATACATCTTCAATTCAATTTTTTGTTCTAGAAGGCTCTTCTTTTGTTAAAATAATATTACTTCTCTCTCATATGATTGGACCTTAGAACTTTTAATTTTCAATTTTTTAGTCAACTCTTTAATTTCAAATCTCATTAACAATGTTTTTGTATCATAACTTATATATTTAATTCAAAGTCTTTAACTCTAAATTAAGGATTTTTAAACACCTTTTACCATATTTAATTTTTATAATTTCTCCCTTTATTTCATCTTCTTTCCCAGCTAAAGTTTCAAAAAATTATTTTCTTAAAGCATTTTTATTGTTTGTGCGCTTTTGCATAATAGTTGCTTTCTCTAAAGCAAATTTTCCTTCTTTGATGGGGATATCATATTTTTGCTACCACTCATTTGTTTCCTTTTTAGCCAATTAAGCTTATTCCTTTGCCAACCTTGTTTCCGCATCACCACTATGGACTTAGGCTAGTTTTTCAAAACTAGCTTGTTTTTCTTTAGTATCTTGCCTCTTGTGTAATAATTTAGTGATATTTTTTTTATTGGAAAAGCAATTTGCTATTCTTCCTTCTCATTTTTATTTTGAAAATTTATTTATCAGTTTGATCTTTAATCAAACAACTTTTGTTTTTGAAAAACACGTTATAACCTTTATCGACTAATTGTCCAACACTCAACAAATTATGATCAATTTCAAGAACATACAACACATAAAAAAGGAACTTTGTACTTGAGTAGGTTGAGATTTTTATTGTTCATTTTTCGTTCACAAGCCATGTCCAACCCGAGCATTGATGTGCTTGCATTGCTTAGTTCCTATAAATAGATTCTTATTGTTTATCATGTGGTTAGTGCAACCATTATCAATAAGTCAATTTTCATTTAATTCCATACTTGAGAAACATGTGACGACAAACAGGTAATTTTCCTCCTCTTGATTAACAACTTTTGCCTCTTCACGACATATAACTCTTTTGACAAGAATTACAATTTGTAAAAATGTGACAATTCATCAAAATTATTAAAGATATTTCTTTAAAATGTTATATTTCTTTATGTAACTACATGAGATTGTCTATAAATAAATTCAATATATAGAGAAAATATAATAGAAACATAAATTATTAAGAAAAGTATTATTGTTTTGTAAATTTATAAGAATGTTATTTATTCTTTGTAATAATTTAAGAGTTTAAACTTTAAAGTTTGCAGGGTTTGTATGCTCATCGGATCCAGCGACGAAAAAAGAAAAGTTGTCACCTCACGTTTATATTTTAGTAATTTTTTTACCACTTCTGCTTCTTACTATTTTTTTAAGTACGACTTTAAAAAACACAAAGGGGTTAATTGGCGCGTCTCCTTTTTGTTATTAATATACCATATACCCATCTAGTATATAAAAACTTAAAAATTCAATCCAGTGTTATAATTTAAATGAATCTATTACCTTTTATTTAAATTGAATTAAATGCAAGAGCATATTTTCATTCTCCAAACTCTTACAACACGAGTTTACCTCAAGCATTATAGTTTATTGACATGCCACCGCACCATCTTTCTTGATTTTTCTTGAGGCCCTTTATCGTAGCAGAAATGTCTTAATTTTAAATTTTCATGGTGCTCCACGGTGAAACATTTCATTGTGAAGTTGCTGTTTACTTTTTTTATTTTATTTTATTTTAAAAGTGAGCAGATTCACAGGTGTAACAATTTCCATGGCGCAGGAGAGTTATTGAACAATTTTTTGGTTCTTTTGATATCCTTTATGCAATTACACATAGCTGTGTGTGCCGTGACTTTAGTGCAATCATAGAGCTTTGCAATGATTCCATCTAATTTCTAAACGAGAGGATAGAAACGTGTTTTCGTCATCAGGAATCAGAAATTTCAATCACATGATAAGTGGCCTCTGCTGCCCTGGAATTGTTGCCTTTTTGGCCCACCCAAGATTCAGTGCTCCCAAATTTTGATGTTACTAATAAACCTTCTCCCATGTGCTCTAAAGCTTTTAGCCCAACTCACACCACAATTTTATTCAGATTACAGTTAACTAAATGCACCTAACCAATTATTAACACCAAAAAACATGAAACCCTATGTGTTGGTTAAGCACAACTCACTAGCTCATTAGGAAATATCATAAGACAACTCGTATTTTATTTTATTTTTTTTATCGTTCTCCAGATATTCTGTATAATAAAGGTTTGCATTAAAAAATTATGTAAATCACTTATATGAAACTCCAGTTCTATAGGTAATAACACAAACAATATTTAAGGAAGTGTATATAATATTCTCCTACCATTAATCATATATATTGTAATTAAAAAAATATAAGTAAATTATGACCAACAAAGATCGGTGAGAATCTAGGTCATTCATCAATGACATAATCTATATAAGATGCTCTCCATCATGAGAAACATTTGGGGAAACATGAAGCTAAGGGCTAAGGAGACAAGGTATTGGTTATGAATATTTTGAGTACATGAAGGAAAGAAGAGTGACCGACATATTGGTTTGGCATTAGCATGCACTGTTGCCTGCAATCTGTCTGTGAAGCAGAGGTCCATGTGGTCCCAGTCACTGACCCTGAACTCCTTTATGTCCATTTTGGATTTTTTTTTCCCTTTACGTATGCTGCACCTTTGAAAGTGGCACCTCAGGAAGATTGCATGATGCTGCCCTTTTTCTACCAAAAAAGTATTTTAATCAAATAAAATCATAGAAACAAAACTATGTGATGTGATTCCCCTTCTTTTATGGCTTTGTATAGTACTATTTATTTCATAATGTACATACATAATGTATTAAATTCAAAATGTGTTTTAAGAGGTAAATTTGGCAAATGAACATTGGCATCTATGAAGAATCTCTAAATAAGAGATTCGTGCACGAGGTTTGAACTTCTAGTTAGCTTACACCTCGAGTTGAAGTATGGTACTATATTTTAATTAGAGAATATATGACGATGATGTTGTTTCAGTAGCAGTTGAATTTTAATATTTATGGACCAGTCCTGTTCCTTTTTATTGAATTACAATTTGGAAAAGCCCACGCGCACTTTATGCTCTCACGGTCAAGGAATAGATAATAGCATCATCCACCACATGGTTATTCAGTTTGTGTCCCCCTTAATGGCTTCCCATTATGCACACAAATCATCTGTTCAGTTAAGTGACCCTGATACTGTATCAAATTGTGTATGTTTCCCCTCTTATGGAATTTCCTAGCTAACTTTCAAGGTGTCAGTGATTTTTTCTAAGCATCATGGATTGGTATTTTTGCTTTTTACAATATTCACGTGCCTTCATCATTAACCTCACTAACTGCATCATCACATCCAAATTGAACAGACAGATTGGCATAATTGGACAATTGGTCTATGGGGTGAGTGAGATATTATTGTATTTCAAAGTTGTACTCGAAGACTTGATATATGGTTTAGCAGAGTATTGGATACCGAATCCAAGTTAAGAGAGAAAACTGGAAGCATATTAGTAGTAAATTACTAAATTCCATGACATTACAAATAGAAGCACCACGTTGTTCAAAAAAACATTCCCTTTTTTTTTTCTCTTAAATCTTGCAACTGAAACCTTTTTTTCTAGGAAAAAGTGATGTAAATATGTTAGTCACAATTCCTCCTGATTTGTGCATATACTTCATTCATATACATTTAATTTGATTGTCAGGTTGGTTGTGAACAACTTCAGCTACCGTGTAAGTGGAAATAAATATTTTTAAGCCAACTCTTCAATCTAAACTAAGTTTCCTCTTGGTTTAAAATTCAAATATGTTTTGTAATGACCTGAAACACAACTTCATCCTAGTAATTCTTACTTTGGTTTTGTCTATCATGTACGCTCCAATATGATAAGAATGCGAAAATGTCCAAATTAAATCTCTACACATGTTAACTATTGAATGAAATGAAATAATGTAGGAAACTTCATATATGTAAACTGATTTAAAATATTAGTGTATAACATTACTATTATTATTATAGAGGATTTTGAATTATCTTAAATACAAGTAGAAAAATAAGAAAATTTCCTTTTAGTAGGGTGTCCACTTCTTTTATTCATCATAGCAATTAAGTTCGAATGTTTACATTCGATTGATATGTCAAGTTTAGGTACATGTCCGATTTATTCAAGCATTCATATTATAAAAGGTACTGACTGGTTTAAATAAAAATGAGCAAATGCAGAACTCGTCTTTAAATGACACAATTTACGTGGTAGCCAATTTTATGAATAAGTTATTTGGCAAAGAAAAGGAGGAGCGAATAAGCTAAAACATTGAACATATTTACATTCCCGAAACAGTTGAAAGAAATTGAGAACCATACATGATGACGTGGAAAAAAAATGAATTGACGAAAATCCGAACAATTGGCATTCCAGACAGCTTTGACAGTAGATATTTTTTTGCTGGACTTCTTTTGGTGCTTTCTTTCCATGGTGGGAGGTGGGAGAAAAGGAGAGGGATTGACGAATTATTTCATGACATGAGGCACTCAATTGGCGAAAAATTGTGCACTAAGAGAAAGGAGAACAACTGTGCACTATGCTGCAAAAAACAAGCCTACTCTACCAGCGGGTGATGGAGGCAGATTGTACAAGGCAAACAATTTCAATCCTGTGAGATTTACCAGAGAGAGACAGTAAATTATAGCTGATTCCCTTTACAAGTAGCCTGCCTCAGGTGAATGATTTGTTCTCATCTTTTAGAAGACATCAAGACTAATAGAATCCTTCAGAGTTGGACGTTCCAATTGGAATCTTTTAATGTTGAGAAGGTCATTTGGGGGCCGAATTGACATGAAAATATCATTGCAACTAAACACAGATTGGGGTTCTAATAAAGGCGTCCCCTACACTTCAAGGATTCGCAAAGACAGGGAGATCCTTCTCCAGGCACAAGCTCGTAGTGGAAGTCATATGTCAGCTCTTCACCCAAAGCAATCTGTCAACAAGAAACAAAGTGAAATGTCCATTTTGTACAAGGAAGCTACTCAAAAGTCTGTCCACTGTTCACAACATACATGCAGGACTGAATGTTCGTCACAAACAAGGGAGTGTCGTGTGATTTTTCATATATCCATGCATATTATAATACATCCATCAACCAGAATACGGAAAGCAAATTTCGTACGTGTTTGCCAATAAATAGGCAGCCTTTGTTCTTTTTTTTTTCCTTTTTTTTTTCTTCTTTTATTCATTGGTGCAAGGCAACAATCTAATGGAGTAATGACCATCAATACTTTTATGATACACTCTTTTCACATCTCATGTTCCTTTCTCTGGCTCGTCTCTTCCCATACAAATCAGATATATCATATCATATACCAAATCAAGAAAAAATTTGCTTGTAGAAAATGCCAAGCATCACAGATGTTGGAATATTTTCAAGGAAATAGCCCTATAGAAGAGAGTACTTACATCCCGACTTGCATAAAGACCAATATGTGCACGTTCACAATCCATGCTGTCCACGAGAACTTGGTGATTGGCGAGATTTGGTGAGCAGCTAAAACAACAATAAATGGTAAGAGAAAACCAACAAAACATACATTTAGATGTGAAAATCAGAATGCAGTGTACAATTGCTAGTGAAAAAAGTTTATGCTTTTGTTGAATTAAACAAAATCAATGTTGCTCAAAAAAATAATTGTGAGGCTCTTCTCACATTACTATATTTATTAGTTGCCAGGAAAAAAAGGGTGGAACAAACAGCACTGTGTTCACTGTCACTAGTAAAAAATAGTACCACAAGTTCCCTAACATATAATCTATTTCAGTAAGGAGCAGATAACAGCCATCATGATAATGATAATTGATAACAATGTGACTGTCCACCACATTTTGAACAACTCGGGTAATAGCATAAGACAAAACAATAGCAGGAAATATCATGGTTCATTGATCGTGGAAAAAGCAACATCCCCAACCAAAAATTAATTCAGAACATACAATTGCTGTGCTGTAATGCAAGTCTGGTTGAAGAAAATTCCTTGGAAGGTAATCATAAAATTTTAGCAAAAATTCAATTAAAGAACCATGTTGCAAGCAAAACTAAGTCAAATAGTATTTTAAAGAGCAAAATGCTCACCTATGATTAATGAATCTTGAGACATTTCCAAACTTAGTAGCATCAATTACATACTGAGCCTGTCCTTCAATCAATCTGCTCATATCATTAACACGAGCATCGATGTTGTAGAAATAACTGCAATGCTCTGTGCCATATCTGGTATTGATATAGACCAGGTCGGTATAAGAGGGGGGAAATCAACTAATTTAAAAAAGAAATTACATCTTTAAGAAATGTAAACCTCTTGTGCCTATCACGTGCCTCCTGCATATCTAAAACTTCTCCAATGTATTCACACACAAATGTGCCACGTAGAATAGCTTCACCGGCCCTTACTGCCCATCCCTACAAATCACAACACAAAAGTCAATGTAGCAAGCCTTGTGATTTGAGAAGCATTTGAGTTAAATCAGAAGAAGAGTAACCTTTTTCTCTGTTTTAAAGACTTCCAATTTGACTCGGACTCCATTCTGCAATACTCTGTTTCGACAGGATTTATTGCATCTGCACATATGGTTACACTCATAGACAAGATAGCCTTCCTGCAATTTTTTAGGACAAACCCCGGAATGGAACAAAAGGAAAATTTGTAAATAGATAAGGAATAAAAGGCAGAAATCTTCTGTATATGCCACCAATATACGAAGGGAATTCAAAGGCAAGATCATGTAATAATGTAATATCAGTGTAAAATTATACTATATAACTCAAAAATCAGAACAGGATCCTATACCATGATATTGCCAACAGAGTTAAGTCATCGCATTCAAAGCAACTATAATACACTAAACAAAAATACTTTTGCAAATTGCAATGATTATAAATGAACTTAGAAAAAAGAAACATACGTAAAAGTAACAAGCTGAAAGAGATAATATTATTCAGGATCTTAGCAAGTACTGGATATATCATCACAAGGTAAAGCCTAACAGATCCAAAATTAATTTTTAGCTCAGATTTTATATATAGAACAGTTTAATTGATGAAATAATTTACCTCCAAGATTATTCGACCATTCTCATCATATGGGAACCTTCCACGCATTGGTTTCCCAAATATGTCTTTTGCATCATCATAGTCATTGCCAAAAAGGTATACATGATCACAAGTTTCAGGACAACAGGTAGAGTAAGAGCAGGCACATCCCAATTGCAGACTCTGTCAATAACCAGATAGGCTAAAGAATATTAAAAATCAGTTTAATTTAAAGTAATGGTGTATTGTACAGAAATCTTTATATCTTCAATTTGAATGAAAAAAATGTACAAGGTAGAAAAGTAACATGTGTGTGCCTGTGTACTTAACAGTCTAGACTCTACAGCTTTTACAAATAAAAACAAAAACCTTAGTAGAATATGATATATTTTAGATTCTTTATGCCTTGGGCTAGAATTTGATCAAAGAACAAATTAAGTCACAGAACTACCTCCGAATCCAGACTAAGGGATTGATCAAGCATTGACTTCGTAACATAGGTAAAGGTCTCCCAAGGCATAGAAGAGTTTGTATTTTGTCCATTACACCCATTCATATGAAGAGAATGCACAAGTTCTTGATCTACTACACAAGTCACTGGAACTGATTCCTTTCCAAAGCTAATGTCATCACACAAGATAACATCTTTTTGCAGTGAACCTAATTTTAAAGTACGAGAATTGATGATGCAGTGAAATTCATCCACCTCCCACTCATCACTTGCAAGATCAGATAAATTCACAGACTTGGGCATCACAGAACTATTAGGAAGAGATGCTAAAGGAGATAGCAGAGCTTGATCCTTTGACACCTTACAACCTCTAGGACAAATAAACCCCTCATGGTGCCAATTTACCAAAATACTATGCTCACTGCAAAGTTTTGCTGCCTTCAAATAGAGCTTTTCAGGCAGAATTCCATATTTCTCCTCCAGTGAGGCTACAAGACTAACTTTGCAGCAAGCAGAGCGAGCAATTGATAAAATATCAAGATTGTTAGGCCTCTGTTTCGTCTTCTGAATCTCTGAAAACAAAATCTTTGAAACAGCTGAGCATTGATTTTCTTCCAATCTACCTATGTTTGTTGTTTCAGTAACATCAGGTTGTATGGTTATTCCTCCAGTTCCAAGTGAGTTTGTTGCCTGAATGGATCGCTTTAAATTAGCATTAGCCTTATTTCTAAGCTTGTATGATGCTGCTGTCAAACTTTTTTTAAATCTAGGGCGGCTTAGTCTGCCAGATTTTAATCTATATGGATAATAGCGAACTCCCCTCTTTACAGGGCGACTGCTGGCCAAATTAGGACCCATATGAGCAGCTTGGTGATGTCGACCCAGGTCAGGTAGTAAGTCAAATTTCAACCCACAAAACCTGCAAATAAATTTTCGTAAACCACCAGTATTCTCAGAATTATTCTCCAACGTGGCTGAATTTCCCTGATCATGTTTTACTGGAGAATCTTCGCCAGTAGAGAAAGTTTTTTGCTCAGGAGCTTTTGATGGTTTAAAATCAACTGGATGAACTGATAAAACATGCTGCCATAATTGCTCAGTATTTCCAAAATGACTCCCACAAGGAATGCATTGAAGAAGCATGCATTGTTCAACAAATTGCACATGGTGTCTCTCCTGAACATGGGTTTCCAACATTTTCTTGTTAGTAAATGAATCCAGGCAAATAGCACAGGCATAGCCCCTAAACAGCCATTGTGCTTCCTTTTTATGACTGTCCATCCAGTGGTTACCAAGTGCTTGGTCATCTGGAAATTCTGCGGAGCATATCTTACACTTGATGGAATTTTCCTTATCATAGTTATCATTAATTGTGGATGGCAAGAGAGGTGGTTCTTCCATGAAAGAGGATATATCCATGTCATCATTGAATCCCCATATCAATTTGATCCTCGATTTTTCACTATGAACTAATTTTGTAAAAAACTCTCCTACACTAGAATCTTTAGAGGCTTCAGTCAAAGCCCACTGGAACTGGACATTCTTAGGAACAGGGTTTCTTAATGATAAAATGCTTTTGAATAGCCTGTAAAAAAGTTCACATGCTTTATGCAAATATACCTTTTGCTCCCATGAGCTGCAGTCCCTCAAAAGTTCTGTGAACACTTCCTTTGATACTATTCTACTCTTCCCATTTCTTGCACGTTTAAGCCAGCTTGGAAGGTGTCTTTCACAGTACAAGCAATACCGTTTGGGGCCTTCCCTACAAGGATTCTTGTTATCATAGGGAGGAGAGCCTATACAGTGCAGTGACTCCATTGCATTACGATCATTTTCAGAATGCATAGGCTTCTCATTAAAGTTGCTTTCTCCATGCAAGGAATCACCACCAATGGATGACACTGGATCCACTTGCAGTGGACTTTCAACATTTACCAATACCAAATCTTTGCAGAATGTGTCCTCTGAACCGGTATAATTTTCTTCATGTTTCCTCTTTAATGTATTCTGGTGTAAATTAGAGATATGTTCTGATTCAGCATGTGGCCGGTGTTTCTTACAGAATAAAGAGCCAGGTAGGGCACGATGCTTACATCTAGTACCCAGAACAGTTGTACCTTCACACATAGGGGTATCAACTGGAACAGGCTTTTCAGATTTTGCTGAGCTGCCCAAAAATCGGGAGGATAGATGTACACAACAGTATACATCACCGTCATTTGCCCATCTCACACACTGTCTTCCCTTTGCTTCAATATAAGCTATGCATTGTCGATTCTTACTACCAGGTTCTACAGATTTTGCAACATTCATTCCATTTGTAGGTGTTGATTCAATCTCTTTGGCATGTAAGAAATCAGAATCAGCAGCCTCCACTACAAATTCATTCCATTTATTTTCCAAATTACCAGGTGAATCAGTTGCCATAGACACCTCCCTAACACCTTCCTGTTTGCAAGGCTCAGTTGCTAATGTGCTCAAAGTTTCCTGATTCTTAAAAAAGTCAGGGTCGGTGTCAAGAGCAATAGTTTGAGCCTTGATTTCCACTTGTGAAGAATGTGTATCTGCACGACGAACTTCAAGTTTGGCCCTTTTTCTACAAACTTGAAGGTTTGCTTGGTACAAATCATCAGAACTTTGTTGCTGGATGTCTTTGCTGATCAATAAGGAAGGTGGTGTTGAAAACCATTTCATTACATCATGCTTCCAGGTTTTCCATTCGGAACCTAATGTTGGTTGCACTGGTGCGTCCCAGAGAGTATTGACACCATTCCACAAAATAGAATCAAACAATTCCTGGAAGAGAAGATAAGGAATAAAATCAACCAAAATATTGAGCAAAAAATTTGTGATCATTGTTTGAAACATGGCATGTGTAATTGTTGTTGAATGTATTCAAAATTTGACATATTATTTCAATTTAAGCACCTTAAAAGAAGCACCACATTAGCCACATCATCTATTTCAAAACACACTAAAATATGAACACTTTGATTACCTTTAAGTTGTTGTTCAATTTTAACAAAATTTGATATACACGTATAAAGTGATATGAACTTTCAATTTAACGGTTGGATTTACAAAATTTATAATTAATATAAAGTTATTGAGGGGTGTAATACTTAGTAAAAGTTACACCGGTATAATTATAACCCCCCTCTTATTACAAACCACTAAAAATAAATGAGGCTATATCAGCTAAGTAGAGTATTTCATGAAATAATTCATAAACTGAAGTATGGATATTTTTTCTTTTTTAAAATTTTCATAGTAGTTATATCCAGGTATAACTGGTTACTGCCCAGGCATAGAAGTAGACACTATTATGGTTCCAAAACTAAAGCACTGAAACAGCACAAATTATTTTTTAAAACTAAAGAAATTTAATTAAAATAATGAGAACAGAACCAATTGATTGTTCTATTTCTTTCTAAAACATTGAGTGATGAAGCAATACTCTCTCTTTTAACCTTTTGGGTGAACCTCCCTTTGTCTCTTATAGCCCATGCTTGGATGCATCTCTACTAAGTGCTGAGAAAGCATATTATGATCATTTGAATGATCCTATTTATACAGATTAAAATCTATATAATTTGTTTTGGGTTTATTTTCATAAGCTATGATAGAAATTGAAGGTTACAGAAACAAGCCTTCACAATAACTGAAAATAGCTTGACTGGTAGCTATGATATAGAGATACTCCTATGTGGTTCTTACCTGTACTGGGCAGTGGGCACACATATAGTACCAGTATTTAATGAATTCATATAGGAACATAGCCAATAGTCCGATCACTTGAGAGCATCTACCAGATATCCCTAAATTGCAAGTCACTCCATGCAATACACCAAGTTTTATTGCTAATTGTTAGGTTTGCTACTAAATGAAACAAATTGCTACTTCACTCCTTTCAAATCCTATCCCTTCTTTAAATATTTTTGCTAAATGATACTGCCTCTATTTCAAAATATGTGCTTTCAGGTTATTCAAGACAAATTGAGTAAGTTACTAAATAATTTCCGTTGGAGGAAAATACAACTGTTTCTGACAAAATTAACCTCTATTGAAATACACAACTTAACATTATCACTTCATTTATGTCTTCTCTGAATCTCTCACTCCATTTAGTGGAGATAACAAGAGTTAACGATAAATTTGGAAAATAAATTTGGTTTCTGGCTTTCTATAGCAACAGATAAAATCATACAAAATTCATTCTGCAAAATTACAGATATTTTAAAACAGAGAATGTGTATTTATGGAGATTTGTTGAAACCTAGGATACAGAACATTATGAAAATTGTATTCATCTTATGATTTAATTACTTTACTTTTTTGTAGTGCATCAGTCTATTGGGTTCGTTGGGTTGAAGACTTCAATTTTCTTTTCTTTATTCATTATAGGTTAAAAGTTAGATAATTAGTTAAATATAAACAAAACAAGCAGAGGAGAATGGCCTAGGCATAGTCTACAGTAATGAGAAACATTTTATTTTCCGTAGAAATGAACCAGAAGGGAAGGTTCACTATTCACTGAATTCGGATTTTTGATCCTCTACTGTAAAGGAATAATAGGATATGGTCATGCTAGAGAAAGAAAGACAATTTTATCAAATATAATTAGTCGGACCCTACAACCAATCGTGGTGGGTTCTTATTTGATAAAAATGTGTCTTTCTCTCTCTAACATGACCATATCCTATTACTCAGCAACAGGAAAAGATCTAAATTCCACTTACATTCATTTTGGTTTATAATGGCAACTAGGGGAGGTCAAAATACGACTAAATTCAGGATGCCAACAAAACAAATAATGATCAAAATTCAAAACCTTTTAATATCAAATTTCTAGATCTAATTCTGCTAATTCTATTGATAATATGGGTTATGGTCCTATGGACTGGGCAAGCAGCTGAGCTTGAATGCATTTCATCAAATGCTTTAATGAAAGAAAGGGAGCAAGATAACACACGAGTGAAAAAATCTGTGGCATCCTTTAGCTACTCAAAAATTTTATGCATTTCAATATTATGTAGTTTTTTACTGATATCATCTTTTATGTGCAAAAGTATGCTAGTTGCACTAGTTATCGTGCAGCATAAACACAATCAATTTTTCTAGATTCTCGGTATATGAATTGATAGTCAAAATTACAACGTACCTCCTTCAGCAGCTCTACTGATTCAGCGCTATTTGCACTCTGACATCTTTCAACCCAAGACGGATAAGAATGCTGTAACCAGTCAGCATTTATATGGTGCTGCAGTATGCTCTGAAAGGGAAAAAAAATTGTACTACAGTCACACAGAGAAAGTTATAAAAAAAACTCATCATCATTTTATTTATATAAAGAAAATTAATAATATAAGGACTCAAAACTTTATAGCAATATAGCTCAACTGACAAATTGCAGAGACTATGCAAATCGTACTGTAGGTATTAGCTTTCAACTTCACGTGTTGGTCATTCAGCCATCAGTCAAATCTAATATTGATTTACTTGATCAAATTATCAAGTACAGGTAAAATATGCTAAGCCAAGTACATGAGATAAAACCTTAAAGGGCCAAGCATATCTAATAAAAGAACACAAGCAAAACACTAAATTGCTCCTTATTTTAAGGTAGCATAATGAAATATGTAATATATCATGCATAGTTTAAGTTAATTCATGCTAGCTTTACGGCATGATACTAAAGGTCTTTTTAGACTCATGAAGCATGTAATACAAAGGAGTGGAGGAAAGTGGTCAGATATCCTCTATCATGCTATAACAAGAACCACTACTATCTGAGAAAAATAATCAGAAGCTTGCAGAAACAATCTACTTTGAAATTGAGAGGATAAGAGGCCTATAAAACCGTGTATTAGAAAATGTTAGCAAATACAGCATTAACCAAAGCAGATATGAAGCCCAAAATTCACATGCCAAAGATACACAAAACAATGATTAATGCTTAGTTTTCATTATTCCAATTTCCAACATATCTCCAAATCTTTATCAGTAAAGCAACTTTCAATGCATTTGAACCCTATCGATTAATGCTTTTATTTCAAGATTAATTCCTTGTGCTTAAAGTTCCAGAACTACAATACAGTCATGCAGTTCTTCACTTTTTAGTTGACTTAAAGATATATAATAACAGACAAACTTAATGCAAATCAATCAAAAGTTCAAAACTCAAAAGCATTTCATCATTTGATTACGTTAAATGGAATCTCACACTCAATTTTTGGAGATTTCTGACTCTCAGGGTGTATCTTTTATGAACCCAACAAAGCACGATAAACCAGGAGGAGTTCAAACATTATGATAAAACAAATTTTAGCAATTTAAGTTTCCTAGCAAATTTTTACTTCCTTACAGTTTTAGCAAAAACAATGCCAAGGGTCAGAAAACTGTATTAATTACTAAATCATGTCAACATCTCTACCCAGACAATTGTATTCAATAACTGCAATACATTAATAAAACAAATATTGAATAGTCTCAAAGTTAAAGACCAAAAATATACTCCCTATTCCATAAACAATCATCAGGAATTGGAATTTACATTATGCAGCTTTAGAAGCATTCTTCCAAAATCAGAATAACCATTATAATGAGAAGCCTCCATGGCAAATTCCTTCCAGACCTTCACATCACGTGCAGTTTCTGTCAAAGCCTGTATGTATTGAAAAAATCTCCAGTTCAAAAGCCTATATATATGAATATATATATATATATATATATATATATAGAGAGAGAGAGAGAGAGGGAGGGAGGGGAGAGAGAGACTGCAAGATAGGGAGTGGAGAAAAGGAAATAGTATCACCATCACATACATTGAAATGAAACTGATCCACCATGTTCAGCATGCCAACAACTAGCTTTTGCATTATAAACCGCCGTGCAACAGTTAAGTCTTTTACCAGTTTCAATCCCACCTGATGAGTCTTGTATGCAATAGGATGGGGAAACTCATCAATTGATCTAACAAGTAGCATGTCTGCCCAAGAATAAATCCTTGTGTTTGGAAAAAATATAACAAAATATTTCTTTCGACCATGAGTTGGTTTTGCTTTCAAAGTTGATAATGGCCAGTCAGCCCTTGCACACCGGATACCGGCCTGCCCCTTCCCTCTCCACTAAAAAATACAGAGAAAACACAGAATGGAAAATTAGCAAAGCTTGCATTTTGATTTTCCATTTTTTAACAGAGTGAAAACCTTCTGAACTGCTAAATTTAATATGCCTGAGGAGGTTTCTGGCATAAAAAAAATGATATCCTAAATATTCATGGATAATTTATTATGATCAGGCATTCCAGATAAATTAGAGTAGTCAATTCAGAGTTCTTTAATACATAAACAAAATTAAAGAAACTAGAGTAGAGACATGAACAACAAAAAATCTCAATGTAGAAAAAGAATTATGGTTACCTTGACCCATAGTGCTATAGATCCATCCCCCTCTAGCCACTTGGGTTCGGCACAAGACCAATCTCCATCCCTACTGTTGTTTGGTGATTCACTCTCAATTGTATCCACAATAGCGATAGAGTTATCAGATGTCAAGCAAGCTTCATTTATCATGTCTTCTTCAAAATCATGGAAACCACAATATTCATTATGGTCATCCACTTGACAGTCACAAGATGAAGCTCCAATGTATTGGCAATCTGAATTAGTTGATAAATCACCTTCCCTTTCTATCTGATGCAAGGGCATCTTATGTGATGATTCATTCAGTTGAGAAGCTGCCAATTTGACTTGTTCACTATTTTCAGGGAAATTAGGTTCTTCCTGATATACAAAAGCTGTTCCTGAACTCTGTTGAGGGCAATCAGATTCCCCAGCATATTGAACACCAGAACAAGGAAGCACTTCCATGAGAGTATTCTAAAATAGAGTTTCGTATATGATATACATGCTATGACTGATGACTCTGCACCTCCCCACGCTGTTCAAGGAAATGTCATTCTATGAAAAAGTCAGACAATGAATTTTTGGCCATGGTAATTTACAAAAAAAAAAACGTTCAAAAAAAAAGAGGAAAAAATTATATCGAAACTTCGTGGCACAAGCATGTTAAATTAAGATCTGCATAACCTTATCGGGCAAGTACAGAAAAATTTTCTACAACTAGAATCTAGTTCTCACAAGATAGTAACCTTAGCTGCACCAACGCTCACCCTCAAACCTTTAAAGATATTACAGAAAGATTATATATCCAAACAATATGTTGCCGAGTTTGTAAAAACACCATTTATGTCCTTTGACATGAAGAAAACAAACCTATAACTCATCTAGATTTAGTCCAAAATTCTAAGAAAAAGAAAGTAGAAGAAAACAATAAGAGCTTATGAAATTCTATTTTAAGATTTCAGTGCTTTCCAAAAACGTATAATGAAATATAAACATGATATGGTGATAGAGCCAGAAACAAGAATTAACATATTCAAATTCCCTTCTTAAATTACTGACTTAATGAATTGGCAGCATTGAAGCAATGAATCTATGCCATTATGACCATTTCAAGGAAAAGGTTGATTACCAACTAGAATGTGAATGTTTATTTATTAGAACCATAATAATTAATTTCCCCTATAGACAGGTATGTCTGGATGTTAAGTTCTGTCTTTGATGTCTATTTATGAGCACACAAATCAAAAGGCCTTATTTTTCTATCGAAGTTCAAATAACCTCCCTAGTTCATAGTAGAATCAAGGAGACAGGAACCAAATTACCTTGTTAAGAGTGCAAGTTTAGAATTGTTAGAAATAAGGTGCAGTTCACGTATCGCACATTAAATGGTTCATATATCACATGTTTGATGCATTTAGTTTTCATAGGAATTAGAATTCAGGATGTAGCACCCATTTCCTCTAAATTCAACAAGAATTATCTTAAATCCATAATTAGTTTCACCTATTGACAGATATTTCTAGAGGTTAATATTAAAATTTCCTATTTTTGTATCGTAATTCAAATAACCTTGCTACTCAACAGTGGTCCATATTAGAATCAGGGACCATATTGAGCTTGAAAATAATGCATATTTAAAACTATATTATATCTGCAATTATTAGTTTAATATATTGATGACAAGTGGTTCTGCATTTTAGCTTCTATTGATGATGACAATTCAGGAACACATAAAAATGCCTTGTTTTTTTTTATCAGAGTTCAGGAACACATCTAAAAATGCCTTACCCCTCGTACTAACCTTGACAAAATTTCTTAGTTTTGAATGAGAATCAAATTTTGGCAGTACTAATAGCGATTAGGGAATTGAATGTCCAATGTGCGTGTGCACATGAGTGTGTTCATCACTATCCCTGATTCTAGCATGGAGTAGCAAGATTATTTGAACTTTAATAGAAAATTAAGGCATTTCATTGTGTTCTTGAATAAGCATCAACAACAGAACTTAACCTCTAGACATATCATTCACTAATGAAGTTAACAACTATAGGTCATATATAATTGTAAAATATTCTCAGAAACAGGACAACGGCAACAGCTTGTATAGTGAACCATGCCTAAATAAATAATCTTCCATGAATAACACAGTTAACGACAACAGAGTTACACCCGAAAAAGAAAGATTTCATAGGCAATATTTTATAATTGTTAATAGTTAATTTTTTTAGAATTCATTGATGTTAAAATATGAAGCACGAACACATTGTGAGCTAAATAAAAGCATCTTATTTTGTCCAAGATTTAATTCAATTCCATTTCAGTGTAGTTTCATTTAACTAGTAGTAAGTAAAATGAAATTATTTCTTCACCAATTAGCGCACTTGTTAATGGATTCTTTTTATGACCGCACAAGGCAATGGCATTATTGAGTTCATAAAACAAAAATCAACAAATTCAAAAATAAATTTTATCGTCATACAAAAATGTGAATGCAGATAATTATAGTGAGAATCAACAGCATAATCATAGTGGTGGAGGGGGGGGGGGGGGGGGGGGTTTATATAGTACCACTACTCAATTTAGTACTTTCAATTTCTAAACTCATCAGAAGAGTTTAGCAAGAAAACGACCAAGAGTTTTGTTACAAGAGTTGCGTCGTCTAAGTTGCGAGAACAAGAGGTTGACCCACATCTTGACCCAATTGTGCGACAATTACACGGATATGTATATCTATACATGTTTATAAGTTTATACACGGATATGTACCTTCCTCCTTTCGTGTTAATTTTGGTTCAGTCAACTGGCAATCAAGAAGAAATTCAAACAATTAGAAGGAAACAACATTATATTTAAGACATATGGATATGGCAGCAGGAGTTTCATTATCAGTTACAAAATTTACACCTTCAAATATACTTGAACCTTGGGGGGGTGTTTCAATCAGTTCAATGTGAACTAACAGAATAATCCATATTTTCTTGATTAGTGCCCCCAATGACAAAATTCGTTAATAAGTTAAGCATGATTTGTAAAAATAAATAAAAATATTAAAAATCAGCATTTGTCAATTTTGAAAGAAAATAGTTCACGCCTAATAACTAATTTTTCTTTTATGGAAATTTGAACTAATAAACGCACTGCCAAAAAAATGTCATGATTCCAAGTAATTACGTTGACTTCAAGTAGATTCCTGCTATATTAGCATTTAGAGAAATTAATGTTTTTATTTCAAGAATTTATGAAATAATTAATGTCTAAGCCCAAACTCTAATATATTTTTTCGTATAATTCGTGTCAAAATAAGATTCCCAAACCAAATCCAGGCAAAGAGAAACAATAAACATGGTGATTTTGTGACGTGAATAACGAAAATGAAAACAGAGAGCCAGAAATTACCAATTGCATCATTTATATCTGGCAATGGTAGTTTATCCCTCCAACCCTTAAACCCCCACCCCCAATTTTATTTTATTTTATTATAAATTTATTCCACCACTAAGGTACGAATCAAATGATCAAAGTCCCCAGCGGGCGTAAATCCACAACAACAAAAAACATTGTTCAGAGAAAAAACTTTGATGTTCTCAGATTTCACAAGCACAACATACCACAGGCACGTCCCAATTAACGTTCTAGATCCTTATAAATTACATTCACCTCCAAAACCCTTAATGACGAAGACCCAATAGTAAAATCGGATTAAATCCCTGCATTATTGTGGGTACGCTAGTAACACGATGATAAACCCTAACCAAAATCATAGTCTATAAGATGATGAAAATGTAACTGCATGTCTCAAAAATGAAAAAGATATGCAGAATCATAAAAGTAAAACCGGGCATCAATTATAACCTCGACACTTAATAGAGGGGCTCCTTAAAACGTTGAACCAAAAGGGGGTAAGATCTTCCCTCCTGCCATTACTAGTACGTCTTTTTCTGTTACCTATAGAGATTTTTTTTTTTAATAATTTGTTGCCATATAATACATAAGGTACACAAAATATATACATCCAAGAGATGAGCTAGGTCAGACACCATAACCAAATTGACTGGAAAAAAAATGTGACATAAAATATAGACTTTGGCTAAGGCAAAATTAAGAGAATAAAAAAGAAGTAGGAAAGGGGGTCGTGGTAATGTACCTTAATAATAGGAGTGGGGGAAGTTTACGCAGGGAGGTCAGTATTTTGCTGGGTCTATTAGAGGGTGGTGATGGGTGGGTGGGTGAAATTCGTTTTTTATGTGAAAAATGTTGTGTCTTCTTTTCCCTAATCGATGCGTCGCACACTCACTGTGGCTATTGCTTAGTGATAGATAGATAGGTCATATTGATATTGATAATTTTTATATATATAAGTGCGGCTCTAGGTTTTAGACATTGGATGAAAGAGGTGGTGGATGGGGTCAGGTCCCGTGCCCAAATTAAATCACAAGCAAAAATTATTTATAATATTAAATTAAAGGGTGATTTGATGGGGTGGGGGTAGAAATTGATAAATGGAAAACATTACAAAGCAATTGAAAGGTGGGTGGTGGGGTTAAAAGAATCAAAGCTAACAAAAGATGGGTCCTATCCTACAAATAGGGGCTTTGAGACCTTTGGTAAGGGTTCTGCAGCTAATGCTCGCGGGAGTCTCCAACTGCGAATTTTTTATTTTTTATTTCCGTAAGTGTCTATACTCTATAGTCACGTCTCTTCAATCTTGAAGCGGAGTTTTTATTTTCCATAAGATCTAGCGGGCATTTTCATTTATAGATTTGGTTAATGATTTATGTACCAATTTGGTTAATAATGTATTAATGGAATATTATATAATATATATTGAAAAAACATGGAAAAAAAAAAAGATTGGGATGGGGAAGGGGCATCGTGGGCATCGAGATGCGATGCGAGGGAAGGAAATGGTAATTTGGTGAAATGTGGGTTAAAGAGAAAGGTCACACCAAAACAATGCACTTTGACTTTGGTTGTAACGACGGCCATCGAATACCAAACGATGTCGTATATGTGACTTAGAAATGGAATTAGATTGGTTGTGGACATGGACTCATGAGCCAGTGGACCACTTGCACGCCAATTTCCATATATTAAAATATTAATATATAAAAAAAACTTAAAGATATTAATATTGCATTTGATATTATTAATATAATAATAATTATAGAAATCTGTAAGTAAATAATTTTCTCCTTATATAAATGATGCAAATTTGTTATTTAATTAAGATTTCAAAATATTAGTTTATAAGAATAATTCAAATATATATTGATATGATATACAGAAATTGAAAATTTATATATATATATATATATAACTTATTTTTACTTTTATTTTTACCATTATTTTAAAAAAATATAATAGAATATTTTAAAATTTTCATATATTTAAAAATCATTGTTTTTTGTTTTCGTTTTTTTATAAAACTTTAAAGTAATCAAATTAAAATACACAAAAATGTAATTTTAAATTATTGTAATTTTTATATTTTAACTATTTGTATTATATTTCCAAAATTATCCTATATATCATTTATCGTAAAAATATTTTAGTAAAAAATCATGCAAAACATAAACTAAAAAAAACTTTTTAAACTATGGTGAGTCTGATCGACCCACAACTCACAGATTTTAAAATAATTTTGACAGTTTTAGTTTTTTAATTTAGCTCGAGAGGTGTATTTTAAAATATAAAGTGTATTCATAATTTTTTATTCAAAATAAATGATTAAGATTTGTGATAAAATTAAATTTTTACAAAATTAAATCTAAAATTATTTATAATATCAATCATTATTTTTTTAATTAATAGTTATTGTTACATTTATTTTTTTTAAGTGTAATTCTCTCGTTTTATAAAAGTAAAATCTAAAGTTTATATAATTGTTACGTCATTATGTATAATGACTTTTATTAATGCTATTGTTTTTGGTATTAGATTTAAAATATTATTAAGTCAAAAAATTATATTTGTTCAGTTACACAGCAAGATCTATTTCTTTTTCTTTCATAGGGTTGGATAAAAAATAACACACGGTTATAAAACAATATCATCAGTTCTATTTGATGAATTTTATCGTTTAAATGTTATTGGTTTTTATCAGGAAATTTTATTTTAAAATTATTTTTTTTATCTATTAAAATTATAATAACAGTAACAAGATTCAAATTTAATAATTAAAATATAAAAAAGATAGGATAAAGTATAAAAAGTATGAAAAATAGAATAGATAAATTATTTTATTTTGTTATTCGTTGTTGGTTGCATTAACATAATATAGTATTATTATCTAACATTTTGTTGGTTTAGTATATTTGTTATTATGAGAACAACTTGGATTAAAAAATGATGAAATATATTATTCTGATGAGTAATCACAATGATAATAATAACGACAACAATAATAATAATGATCGTAATAACAAAAATTATTGTAATAATAGTAATAATGTTAGAATAATAATAGTAATAATAGTAATTATAGTAGTAATAACAATGTTAATAATGGTAATGATAATGATAATTGTCGTAATAGTTATGATACAAACAATTATAATAAGAGTTAATCATCCCTACACTGTTAGTGTAAAGTTTTTTACACTAGAAACCAATCATATCTTTTAAAATTGTTTTATTTTATTATTATTTCATTAAATAAGCAACTGACATGTCACTATTAAAAGATATGATTGGTTGTCAATGTAAAAAAAACATTACACTGACAGTGTATAGGTAATTAACTCTTATAATAATAATATATGGTTATTTTATTTATAATCTTCTAATATAAATTATTTATTTTAATCTAAAAAAATTGTTCTTATTTTTCATTATACGAGATGTTGTTATTATATGTGTGTATTTAAAGTTTTGAGATAGGATAAAAAAACACACAAAGTTAGACAAAAGAATAGAAGTTAAGATTTTACGAAGAGAGAATGATATGAAGGAATAAGAAAAATGATAAATTAATTGATTTGTGGAGGATTTTAATTTATCCTTTTTAATATATGGAAAGATTTTAGGTTAAATTATATTTTTGTCTCCAATTTGTAATTTTGTAATTTTGGCTTTTTACTTTTTAATTTCCTAATTTTATTATCTTAATTTTATAAAATATGCAATTTTGATTCTTTTAATAAACTTTCTTTTGCTAATCATAAAAATTATATCATTGATTATTACCTCACATTAAATAAATGACATGACAAATAATTGTTAAAAGTATTTGTGTTAAGTTTTACTCTTAGTTCTATTTTTATCTCGTAAAAATTATAAAATAAGATGAAAATTAAATATAAATAAAATCTAAAAGTGTAATTTATAGTAAATTTTATTAAATAGTAATTATCATGTCAATCATCCCATATCAAATCATAATTAACATTACAATTTTAAAAATTAATGAATAAAATTGAGATCAAAATTATGAATTTTATAAAATTTAATGATTCAAATTATAAAATTTAAAATTTAAAATATAAATTAAATAATACAATTTATATAAAATAAGTAAAAGTACAATTTAACAATTATTAAACTTTAAAACATAAATCCTAAACATCACAACAAATATCTTATTTTATCTTCTTTTTTTATCCATCATAATTATAATAAAGGTAACTAAAATTTGAATCTAAATTTTTGTGTATACTAATTCAATCATCACTATTAAGTTGATTTTAGTGATCGATAATCATACACTTGTTTTTTTTTTTTGTTTTTTTTAATCTCGTTACAAGTAAATATTATGAGAAAATTGTAGAACGGAGCTTTTGAATTGTGAGTTTGATTTTTTACTTTTTTTTGGACAATGATGTTGCTCTTCTCCGTCGTATGGGTAATTACGGAGTGAAAGTAAATAATATACTTGATCCGACGGAGCTACGTTAATTAAATTGTAATTATGTATTCTATTAATAAGGTATTAAAGGATTAAAATAGAAAATAAAATTTTTGTTACATAAAAAATTTCTATTTGTTACGTCAATAACCTATTTAAATTGTGTATGGGATAGGAAAGAAAAAAAAAATCATTTATGTAATTAAGATGCAGCATGCAAGTAAGTCATAAGTCATAACTAGGTGACATGAATCACACGAGAGATGTGAAGAATGTTGGTATGTATAGGTGCTTCACTTGGACTGGCCCAATCTAATTTGATCTAAGGATTTGGGCCAGTTGATTCGGGCTACTCTGAAATAAGGTTCATGATATATACACCTCCTTTTTTTTATAAGTACACCTCCTTTTAAAAAGAAGTTAATTTTTTTAAAATATTTCTATTTTTTTTTTTAATTTTTAATTTTACATTCACAACATTTAATTTTAATATTTTTTCACACATCATTCCTCTTTTTTTCAATTTTTACATGCACCTCCCTTTACCTTTTTTTCACCCCACCTATTTTGATAGCATGTGAAATTTAAAAGAGAAAAAAAAGTATGTGAAATAAAAGAAGAAAGTAGATAATTAAAAGTTGGAAGTGTAAAATTTAAAAAATTAAAAAAAATTATAATATTTTATAATTTTTTTTAAAAAATAAAATAAAGGAGGTGTACTTATAAAAAAAAAGGAGGTGTATATATCATGAGCCCTGAAATAAATAGAATAAATATTGATTTATTTATTTATTTTTCGATTGACTCTTGGTGCATGTAATATGTCACTATTTTGGTTTTCGCCCTTTTAAGTTATTTTTTAAATGATTATTGTAAAATTTCTTTTTTTATTATTATTATTATTGTTTTAATCTTTGTAATATTTTTTTATCTTTATAATATTAATAATTTGTTTTTGGTTTCTACTAGTATTTTTTAAAAGGACTAATTCAAAATAAACAAAATATTATAGAGACTAAAATAAAAACATATATATTATAAGGATTAAAATAAAATAAAAATGAACAAATAAAAATAAATAAAATATACAATAATTATTTTTTTAAAAATTATAATGACCAAAATAAAAATAATATTAATTTATATGAATAAAAACATATTTAAAATTTTATGATTATTAGTATATTGATAATTATAATTTAAATTTTTAATAGTCATTTACAAGCGTGTGTCTGATTTTCTCTTCAAACTATACATACTTATTGTGACCATTTTTTTTTTTGCATAAAAAATAACTTCGGCATCATCCCAGTGGAAACTGTTTTTCAGATGTTTTATAGTTTATTATTAGGATAAAAGTTATTTTTAATTTCTCTAAAAAAAATTAAATTCGTTTATGATTTTTTATTTATTTATTATTAAATTAGCCCCTTTGAAATTATAATATGTTAAAATCAATTTTTTTTCAAACTTTATTATTGGCATTCCCCTATGTGACAAATAGAAATACACGTGATAAATGAAAAAATAATTAGTTCCTTTCAAAA